AACTGTCGACACGCTCTTCGAACAGCTTCTTGGTGGGTGTCGTCATCAGGTACTGGATCACTGGGATATGGTGGAGATCAGCCAAAGTGAAGCAATCACAGACTAAGTACTTGGACTTGCTTAGTCTATCATCGTACACGTCAAGAACCTTTGCTAACTTAGCTTCTGCTTCCTCAACAGCAGCTTGATCCGTTGGCAAGCCATAGAATAACTTGAACACTTGTTCAAATGCCAGCTTTGAAGCTACCGGGTCGAACTGGTGAGCTTCTACTTCCATCCAAAGGGACAGGACAGCCATGTTCTTCGAGCCAGGGCAGAGCAGCTCGGTGCCTTTGTCTGGATGCTCGTGAGCTATGTACTGAGTGATAGCTCTTGATTCTGTTAATCCATTGGTTAAACAGTTCACTACAAAGCTTATATCTATATTCATCAGATTGATATAGAAATGTAGGAAGAGTTACCGTATAGCTGGAGGTCTCCATCTTCAAAGGCTGGAACTTTACCGAAAGGCTGCATCAGCACATTGTTTTAAAGTTCAAAACATCATGGAGATTAGGTTTAAGTATCTGAAACAGATTCAACAACTTGTCTGCCTAAAGTTTCATCCTTTACTTCACTTTGAGCAAGCTTGTTTGGTAACTTTCTCATCTAATGTTTCCGGCAACATGAGAAAATACAGAAACTTCTCTGGCATACTTACGTTTAGGGAGATGAAGGGTTCCTTCTTGTGCTCGCCATCTTTCAACTCAACGTTGACAAACTCGAATTCAAGACCTTTCTCATGGAGAGTGGCGAGAACTCGCCTCGTGCAGGTCGAGGATGGCTTCCCATGAACCTTGATACCTCCCATTAGAGAGAGAGAGAGAGAGAGAGAGAGATGTTGCGGGTAAGAAACACTCCGCCAAGAAAGACCCAGTTCTAGAGGAATATGTAGAGCTACAAGTAGTACTTGAAAACCGCTTATGGGGCTCTCATAACAATTTATAGAAAGTTAGAAACTTTCCAAGTCCAAGTCTTTTTCTCCTTTGCCCTTTTCTTTGGTGTGAAATAGGGCTGACCAACCACCACGTGCGGTAACGACCAATCCTACAATTTCCAACCACTGGTCTGCTGGATCCTCCAAAACAACCATGACTTCATATATTGACTCTATGATTCCAAGGATAATAAAATGCTCAAGTGCAAGTACCAGAAGGACAACATAAGAGAGACAATAAATTTCTGAATTTCAGAAGTTTGTTTAACTGATATATGTGGGTGTTCAGAACTTCTGAGCCTTCTTCCAAGCCGGCCTTCCCGTGATCTCGGCCACCCACGAGCTGACATGCGGACGCTCCTCAAACAGTTTCTTGGTCGGTGTTCCTGACAGGTACTCGATGTTTGGGAGGTGGTGGAGATCAGCCATGGTGAAGCTGTCTGAACCCAAGTACTTGGACTGAGCCAACCGAGACTCGTAAACATCCAGAACCTTTGCCAGCTTTGACTCGCTCTCCTTCACGGCTTCTGGGTCAGTTGGAATACCGTACATTGGCTTGATCATTTGCTCCCACGTAAGCTTTGAAGCCAGGGGGTCGAACTGGTGAGCTTCCACTTCCATCCAAAGCCTTATGATTGCTATCTCCTTGTCTTCATGAGAAAGCAACTGGGTACCTTCCTCCATGTGCTTTTGGGCTATGTATTGTGTGATTGCCCTTGATTCTGGAAATCCATTTGTTAAACTGTCAATGAAACCTCTCTAAGAATTGCCTGAATGTAGAGGTTCTAACTTATGGATTACTAGCCTTTGAGGTGTGTGATGGATTGGCATTGCAAACTTACCGAATAGCTTCAGGTCTCCATCTTCAAAAGCCGGGACTTGCCCAAACGGCTGCATCAATATGGATTCAAGAGATCAAATGCAAAGGTTAAATTCTTTGTAGCAAATTACCAGAAGAGAAGCAACATAAAAATGTTTAGTTGCAAAGGTGTGTGGTTATGGGTGATTACATTGAGAGAGAGGAATGGTTCCTTCTTATGTTCACCATCTTTCAACTCCACATGAACCGACTCAAAGGTGAGACCTTTCTCATGTAGAACGGCAAGAACACGCCTGGTGTTTGTGGAGAAAGGATGTCCACGAACTTTATAGACTGCAAATGCAACAGGATATGCCATTCAAAAAAACAAATCAGCAAATTTGGCAGTGAAAAACAAGACTAAGCTTTACAGGAACAGGCAAACTAATGGATCTGATGGTGAATGATGCCTAATCTGATCAAAATCTCAAAGTTGATGAAAGAAGATCCAAAATAACCTTTGAGGTTTACATTTCTTCAAACTGATTTATATCCACTTCCATCGGGTTCAAAGACAAATGCATCAAGTGAAGAAATGAAAAATTTAATATCAACAATGATGGCTACCCTTTTCAGGCAAGGTACTCAAAGGTTCATGGAACTTTTCCAAAGAGCATGACAAACTATCAGTGCAAGTTTGGAGGTTGAATTTAAGGGATACAAGCGAAATTTCCACATTCAAAATAACCAACAGACAATTAGTGCTGTGTTGGCTAATACGGTACCTCCTTTCTGCGATGTAGAACCGCATGCTGATTCACCATGCTCAGGCGCAGCAGGACAGAACTACGAGAACACAAAAAATTCAAGAAAGAAACATCCGATGAGGATGAAAAGGAGATACCGAGCTTGATTTGGACATCATGATAGACAAAAACAGAACAGGATCTCAAGAGTTTCATAGAGTAAATGTGTTGCTACTTGAAGTTCATTTCCAGTTGAATTACCATGAACTGAGACGGTCAAAGACTCAGAGCTAAAATCAGTCGGTGGTACAACGCAAATCTAGATACTCAACCAAGCTCACAGCATAATTCACCAATTCAAGAAACCATCATATGAATCTGATTCAATGGCAGATCAACAACTTGCTGTCAAAAACTTCTGGTTATGATTTATAATTGAATTACGGATCAAAACAACCCAAATTTCCCGTTAATTTTTTGCAATTCACCGGCAAAAAGGAGCAGAATTGCATATTCATCGCCATTTACAGATAGATAAGCTTTAAAGCAGTCATAATCACTCGTATGGAATGGAACAAGGTTCACAGGAAAAACAGTTTTCTAATAACTAAAAAGCGAACATTTGCCAGCAAATTATACGGAAACTCAAATCATGACTGTATCGTCACAGAGACTAACCCTAGCCCTCATCGCAACCACAAATCCTCCGCCGATACCTCTAATTCTTTACACATCCAATCCAAGTCTAGTCCTCCGATTTTTCTCTGACTCGACTTTCTCGGGAAACAAACAGAAAAAAGTTGACTATTATGATCGAGACGCACCTGGTTGTCGGGATCGGACACGGAGCGAAACGGAAGCAGGAGTAAGGTAACACTGCCAATGAAAAGAACGAGTCTTGCCGCCATTGATGGGTCGACCGAAGATCGTTGTTGTGATCCACCGGTCTTTCCCAGGAGTCGAACTAAATAATGTTTCTTCTCGACTTGGACCAAGAGTCGAACTAAAAATATGGGCGTTTTTTTTTTCAAGTCCAATATTCTGAAAATGATTAAAAATATATTAAAAAAATTAATAGAAAAAATCCAAAATTTTCCCGATATAGAAAAAGAACTGTAAAATTTTCACGAAAAGGCTAAAAAAAATAGAACTTCCACAAAGAAAAAAAATAATTTTCCATTTCCAAACAAGTATTGGAAAAAAAAAACTGTAAAGAAGGAAAACATTATAAAAATGCCCATAAGTAACATCTAAAAGTAATATTTTCCAGAGCTTAAAGAGGACACTAATCCCAACATTAATATGCAATAATATCACATATCAATCCCAACATTAATATGCAAATCCATAATTACATTATTTGGACCAAAATCATAGATATTCTTTTATTATAACCAAAGTTGCAAAGAAATTGATTAAAAAATGTATTATTTTTACACTTTTAAAGCTCAAACACAGAGCATATCTCTCTCTTATTCATATTTAATTACATACCAACATCCATTTATTACCACACAAGAAAATAGATTAAAAAAACACTTACACACATACAGTGTAATAACACAACATGAACAAACCAAACATACACACAGTTGTTCTGTAATTTGTTATTTATCAGTTCAATCTCTTCTTGATGTTGCTTGACCAAACGGCGGGATCACAGGCCCTCTGCCAAGAAGGCCTGGCCCTGATCTTGGCCACCCACTGAGCGACACGTGGCCTCTCCTCGAACAGCCTCCTGGTCGGGGTCAAGTACAGGAACTCTATGTTGGGGAGGTGGTGAAGATCCGCCAACGTGAAGCTGTCACATGCCAAGTACTCGTACCCGGTCTCGGCCAGCCGCCTCTCGTACACGTCCAGAACTTTCTCGAGCCTCGACTCGTTCTCCTTCACGGCCCCTTCGTCCCTCGGGAGGTTGTAATTCGGCTTTATGACTTGTTCCCACGTCAGTGCCGACGCCAGAGGGTTGAAGCTTTGAGCTTCTATCTCCATCCACATCGTCAGTGTCGCCATTGTCTCGTGGCTCTGGAAGTTCAGCAGCCGGTTCCCTCTTGTGCTGTGGACGTATGCTATGTATTGTGTGATTGCCCTCGATTCTTTTACGTTTAACAATTTCATCTTCGATCAATATTATGTTCTCAATATATATTCATATATAGTGTATAAGCTGCTGAGTATAATAAAGCTTACCGATCAGCTTAACTTGTCCATCTTCGAAAACCGGGATCTGGCCAAAGGGCTGCAGCAATATTGTTCAAGATGAAAGGTTCCATCTTGTATCGATCAAATGTTATATATAATATATAGTATAAAACGTGATGTCGGGCTAAACATTTAGATATATATCGATCAAATTAATGGTATATATATAATGTAATATATAGTATGGTTATTACGTTGAGATTGCGGAGGAAAGGTTCCTTCTTGTGCTCGCCGGATTTCAGGTCGACCTCGATGGCCTCATAGCCGATGCCTTTCTCGTAGAGGGTGGCAAGAACACGTCTTGTGTTTGTCGATAAAGGATGCCCATGCACCTTGTAGCCTGCCATATACAATACATTAATCATACGAATCCATGACTCCATGACCATGACACATATATATATGTATGTATATATGTATAACCCATGAAAACATATACACCAACCAAACGTACCGAAATCTTTGCTCTCGGATTGATCTCTCCAACTAAAAAGCTTGAACACCATCTTCGTGCAATCGTTCATAACTATGTGAAAACACACCAACGAGGATAAAACGGGGATGGACCGTTGTTGTTGTGCATTCGATCATATATATATGTAACTACGTGTATTATATATATAACCGATCAATGCTCTGATTAATTACAAACATATTATATAATATAATATAATATATTGTGATAAAGACGACACTCTATGGAACAACTTTTGCGTTGCCGAGGTGAGGAACATCTTTCTTACTTGACACCTACGAAAGATACGATTACTATTATTATTATTATTATTATTATTATTATTATTATTATTATTATTTTCTCCAATAGATGGTTCTATAGAAAGCAGAGTTGTCTCGATCTTATTGTTATTATTATACAAAACGAATCTTGCAAAGTATGGTGTTTGTGTGCGTGTGTGTGTGTGTATAATATATATATATATATATATATATATATATATATATATATGTGTGTGTGTATATATATATTCGAGTCTTATATACGTTCCATTTAACTAATTATGAGTAATTAATAAATAGAGGCGATTATATTAAAGTAAGTAATTCCAAAAGAAAGGTGTAACGACGGAATGTGTATTCATCAAGCGTCGTTAAAGGATATAGAAGTTCTTTTAATTATACAGTTTGCAATACGATTGGTCCTTTTCATTAGTGTCTCATTCGGATTATTCAACTGTAAAAAAAAAAAAAAACAGATTTGTGAAAGTAGGACAAAGGACTAAGAAAAGAATCCATCCAAAAACCCAGAGTTTTAACGAAAATAATAATAATAATAATAATAATAATAATAATAATAATAATAATAATAATAATAATAATAATAATAATAATAATAATAATAATAATAATAATAATAATAATAATAATAATAATAATAATAATAATAATAATAATTTACACTCACCGGCAAATTACGCCACCGCCACATCTGCCGTCTCCGTTTTCGGCGATGGATGAACGCTCCGGATACGGGTAAAACGTTTTGCCTTGGGCTGTTATTGGGCTTTTTATTCGGCCCAAATGTTTCTCAACTCTTTAATTGCAGTATAGTCCTTCAGTTTTGCATTTATTAGAAATTTACCCTGAAGTTAGTCTCAGTTCTCAGCTTGAGAATTTCCCATAAATGTATTGTGAAATAGGTAATTACGTATTATTTTAGTATACACGAAATTAAAATACGAGGCCAAAGGTGCAATTAATATTATTAGCTGCGAAAAGGTGCGATTTTAAAATTTCGCATTAGTGGGCCTTATCTTATGATCAGAAAAAATCTTAAATTATTAAAGAAGAAGCCGAAGCTTACATGACACGCCCCTACCTCATGATCCACTTGGAAGATCGAACGGCTATGATCGGAGATCTAGAGAGGTGTACTGTGTTCTTTGTTGCATCTGATTGTTCCCAACTGAAAAGCTCTGAGGGCGCGCGAGTTTTTGAATTTATTTATTTCTTTTATCTTCCGCCACAGGATTTCATCGTGATGTACGACTAAGGAAGGGAAAGAAAAATCCGATTGATGAAGAGGAAAACCCTAGGGACGATCAACAGGAGGCGAGCGAAGAAGAATCGGAAGATGAACGGGCCATTGGAGAGACACCTGCAGCTTCAGCTTGAACAGTTCTCTAAGCTTCCCTTCGGTGGGCATCATCAGTCTGCGAATGCTGCTTCGTCGGCGTTCCAGAATCTGCTCGATTCGGAGTCATCGGAGCTCCGTTCACAGTTGGATGCCGTCGATGGGGATCCCGGCGGTGACGAGAAGGATTTCATCCTCAGCCAAGATTTCTTCTGGTAATTTTTTCGTTACTCGGGTCCTAACACATTTCCAATCTGTATATGCGGTTTAGAAATCTGTCGCTTCCTGTTGGTTTGGTCCGGGATTGGTGTTTCGCACTTGGTCTGGTGTCATGATGTTTCCAAATCGTGCATACGGCGTTGATTTCATAGGCTTGGTAGGGCAGTAAATCTTTGGAACTTTAGTTTAGGTCGACAAGTGATGCTTCTTTTGAGCTCTTCATGAGTTTTATTTCGAAAAGTTTTAGCTGCTGATCATTTTCCTCATTTATGATTCAGCACACCGGATTACATAACCCCAGATAATCAGAACCTGTTGAACGGCTTGGACTTTAGCAAGGTGAGCTGATAAAAAGCTAGTGATGTTAACCGAGGTTTATGTTCTTCAATATTCCTTTAGAGTTGTTTCATTATTTTCTTTTCTAGGAACACTCTCCTTGCCCGAGGTCACCCGTGAAGCTAAATACCATTAAAAGCAAAAGGTGTCGGCAGGGTAATTTTTCTTGAAACTGGTTCTTTCAAGATGTAATTGTTTACTGTCTTGAATGCACGAAGTAAGATGTATAGTGCTTCAGGATTTGTACATGGTAGCAAAACAAGAGCATTTTCAGATATGCGAAGATTGAGAATTGAGAAAGAAACACACTTGACAGTTAGAGGATCATCTGTTATTTCTTTTATTGTGATGTTTGTACTTCCGTTTCTGTAGACACTCGGTTTGTTTGAAAAGCCTGGAACTTGTTAAATTTTCCATGGCTTTGCATTTCATCTATGTTTTGCTTCGAGATCTCTCACATTCATCTCCGGCAATTTTGACAGTTTATAAGCTTTATGTAGCTTATTTCTTCTCGGTTTCCTATTGAAATTTCTGTGTTTGTGCAGATAATTCTGCATTGAATCACTTAAGCCCTATCCTGTCTACAAAACAAAGAACAGATGAACCAGAGAGAGATGATATTGATTTGGATGAGATCATGATAGAAAAAGCTGAAGCTATTGGTGCAGAACGGTCTGGGTATGTTTCACAGTCTGCAGTTGCTCTGCGGTGTCGGGTTATACCACCCCCGTGCCTCAAGAATCCATATCTTATGGATGATTCGGAAACAGATGTAGATCCTTTCAGATACCAAAGGTCAAAATGTGCTGGTAAGTCTTTTTTTACTGTCAGTTTTCAGTCAGAAATTCGCAAGTTTTCTTTTCTAAGCTACCTAGTAGTCTGTCTCAGAAAGTATTCTACTTGAATCTTGTAATTCGTTTACAAGGCTAAAAAGGTTGCAATGGTTCTGAACCCATTATACAGGTTTCTTCCCAGCGAATACAGGTGGGAATGGTTTGTCAAGATATCTCACAGATTTTCACGAGATCCAGGTAACAGGAAACGCCTCCTAGTTTTGTGTAACTTTCACATGAATGATAGGGTTTTTGCGCTTCTACTAAATTAATCTTGTTTGCTTTGTCCAGCAAATTGGAGCTGGGAATTTCAGTCGTGTATATAAGGCTGTGAAGAGAATTGATGGTTGCTTGTATGCAGTGAAGCATAGCACGCGGCAACTCTATCATGAGTCGGAGAGGTAGGTTCTTCTAGTTTTTCTTATCTGAAATAACAGGTCACTAATGCATTAAAGAATAGTTCATTGTGTTTGAATCAAATTACTGGAGTCATCAAAACCCGAACTTTTGCAGGCAGAAAGCTTTGATGGAAGTTCAAGCTCTGGGGGCTCTAGGTCAATCCAGTCCCATATTCTGCCTTCTCGTCTTTACCTGTTTCCCGATTCATCTTTTGGGGTTCAAAGTAGTGAAAGCTTATACACCTTGTTTGCTCATGTTTTCAGGATTTCATGAAAATATAGTTGGATACTACTCTTCTTGGTTAGAGAATGATCAACTATACATTCAGCTAGAACTGTGTGATCACAGCTTGTCCGAGACATCTTCTCAAAAGTTTGCAAACAGAGATATCTTGGTAATGATGTATCAGGTAAGCATCTGTTCTGCATGTTTCATTTGATAACTGGTTGGAAAACCCAGATGGAATATTTATGTTAGTGTATAAGAAGCCTTTTCTTTTTGTTGCATTTCTTTTATATGGTAGCGAGAAAAAAAGAGTGCTTATTTATAATTTCAGGCAACTTATTTGGATTTAAAATCCGACGAAACTATCTCTTGCAGATAGCAAAGGCACTGCAGTTTGTGCATGAAAGCGGAATAGCTCATCTAGATGTTAAGCCGGATAATATATATGTGAAGAACGGGAAATACAAGCTCGGAGACTTTGGATGTGCAACCCGGTTGGACAAGAGGTTGCCGGTAGAAGAAGGGGATGCTCGTTACATGCCTCAAGAAATACTGAACGAGGACTACGATCATCTAGACAAGGTCGATATATTCTCGTTAGGAGCCACGGTTTACGAGCTGATCAGAGGGTCTCCTCTGGCAGAATCCGGGAATCAGTTTCTGAATATAAGGGGAGGGAAACTTCCTCTTCTCCCTGGCCATCCCGTCCAGTTGCAGCATCTGCTTAAGGTATGAATTCAGCCTCTGCCATTACAGTGAGGATTTTGAACGAGAGCATTTGACCCGACAAAATGTCTGTGTGGCATTACATTGGCAGGCAATGATGGATCCTGATCCAACGCGCCGGCCTTCTGCTCGAGAGATCCTGGAAAACCATATTTTCGACCGGATCAATGGGTCATAAAATCCACGGACCATGGTTCCATGGATGAACCAGATTTTTGTACATTATGGACGGTGGTGTCAAGATCAAGTGAAGGGATGGATGTAAGGTATGGGGGAAGAAGAAAAGTTTTGAATGGGTCGCTTCTCTTCTCTGCAGCAGATTTTCCCCAAGTGATTGGTGCATAAGGTAGTTGCGGAGAGCCTGTTTCGTTTGGTTCGACCGTATAAATGTTATGAAGCAGATCTGAAATGTAATCTACTCTGTTATCAAAATATGGGCCTTGCTCTCTTCTAAAAATGCCTTCACCAAAAAAAAAAAAAAAAGATAATATCTAAAAATGCATGAAAATCACATGAAAGTGATAATAATAAAGCCGCATTTTTTTAATTATAAAGAGAAGTTTAAATCGTTCCGAGAGAGAGTGTGGATTTCTATTGAAATATTGAAAAAGAAAACTCGTCCTGCTAGTATGTGGGCCTTGGTAAATTTACGCCGAGGCCCAATATCTTAATTGCATAATGAACGGGCCCGGTTGTTTCAAATAGATTCCCTCAATCCCCAAAACCCTAACCCTAGTTCTCTCTCCTCATCTATATAAATCATCCGTCAGCCTCTCGCCTTTGGTATTCCTTCTTTCATTCTCATGGAAGCCCTCTCTCTTTTGCGTTCTGGCTTCTCTCCCGGGGGAGATTCTGTTGTATGGTCGTTTTCCTCGTGATTTCTTGTTTTCCCTGGTTTCGGACTCTCTGAGTTTTTTGTTTTGGTACGATTAGGGTTTTGTAGCGAGGGCGATGATGTTTCAATCTACCTATTTTATGAGGAGCATATTTCCTCTGATTAGAAAAATCACCAATGGATCCTTCTGAGCCTTCGCTCCAATCCCTTTGTTTTTTCCCTCTCATGGTGTTAACTTTGCTGTGGGAGAGAGCCAATGACATGATGATGCAATCTTCGGAATAATTACATATGTCGACCCAAAACTCAGACTACAATTATCTGATCATAGTGCTCTCTCTCTTCTTCTTAATTGTTTTTCAATCTTTGTGTTTGCATCGACGTGCGTGCGTCTGGTCTTATCACTGAAATTGAGAAATTTTCTTGGTAAAGTTTTCGTTTTTAGTTATGCATTGATCGGATAATTTCGAAACAAAGGGTCGGAATTGGGCGGGATGAACTCCTCTGACCGATGAGATTTGATATCCAAACCACGAATCTGTCTTGTTCCAACAAAAATTGAAGATCCATCTCTGAACATGTTTTACCAACTCAGTCTTCTGGAGAATAGTTGGAAGAGATTTAATTTTCGCAAGTGAATATTTAGAATAATGAATCAATGGGAATGGAAAATCTCCCGACCGAAGTGCAGTATACACACACACACACACAATGTGTGCGCAATGACTCGAGGGATATGCAAAAGTTCCCACAGATTCCAATCCTGCAATGTGGCTGACGTTTTCCTGAGTCCGACGGAAATCGCAACGAGAACAAAAAACTGAATTATATTAAAAACAGTGGACAGTGTAGGATCTTGGTGACTTTTTGGAGTTGTAGGGAAGTTTTATAAGAAACAACACCTGGGCTGGGAATGGGACGTCCTGTAAGAACGGAGTCCGTTGACACTTTGCAATAACGGCCGGCTGACGTAAGCTTTGTGAATTATCAGTCGGCAAAACGCAGCGTTTTGAGTTACACATAAACGTAATTTTTTTCATAATTATAATTATAATATATCGTAGATGTGTTTCTTAAATGGAAAAATAAATAAATCACCTGAATTCAAAAGGCCGAACGGAAAAGGAAAAAATGAAGGAGAGAGAAAAAAAAACAAAGAGGCCAAATGAATTCCTGATATCGTCGTCGTCGTCACCGTACTCTCTTTCCTCCACCGCCTTCTTCTCAGCTCGCCTCTCCGTTTCTGATATTTACAATTCAGCTCTCCACCGATCCCGTTTGGGGTACGTGGTTTCCCGTTTGATCAGGGTTTATCATCTTACATTATTTATATGTTCCGATGCTCAATTTATCATTCTTGTTTATATAATTTCGGATTCCTCTTGTTTTCTGTCGGTTGTCCGCGTATGTGTGGTTAATTTTGTTTTCTTTTTCTGTATGGGATCGAGATTGTTAGGGTTCCATCGGCTTCTTCAGGTTGGTGGTTAATTTCATTGATTGGTGTTGGTTTTGGATTCGTCTCTTGTGCGAGATCACGCTGAAAATGTCGTTTTCGGTTCCAGGCAATCTGGTAGCTTTAGTTCGTCGTAGCGTTATTTTTTAACCGATATTCCTCTTGTGCTATTGTAACCGCTAAAGAGCTGAACTTCTTGTTTGTTTTCTTATTCCTCGTGTAGTTTGAATCTTATTTTGGTACAAATTTGACTGAAACAGTGGGTTTTCATCTTGGAGACAGGTCCAGGAGAGAGCGTAAAGCATCATTCTTAAACATGGAGCGTAAAACCATTGACTTGGAGCAAGGATGGGACTACATGCAGACTGGTATCGCCAAGCTGAAAAGGATTCTGGAAGGATTACCGGAACCAGCTTTCGACTCCGAACAATATATGATGCTTTACACGTAGGCCTTTACTATCTTTTGTTTATCAGTACTATGACGGTTGCCTGTTTATAACCGGTACTGATCGTAATTGATTTTTGGTGATTCGCAGGACTATCTACAATATGTGCACCCAGAAACCTCCTCATGATTATTCACAGCAGCTTTATGACAAGTATCGTGAAGCTTTTGAAGAATATATCAATTCATTGGTGAGTCCTGCAACATTTTCTTTTTTTAGGCATCATATGGAGTTCCTTACCATTGTTGTGTCTTGTGTGACTGTCGGGTCTTTAGGCTGGACTTGATTTTTGAGCTGGTTGTTGTAGTTTGGGCTTGTAAGCTTACTTCTTTTTTCCTAATTGGGGTAAACAATAATTGTTGTATGTGGTTAGGTTTTGCCTGCTCTAAGGGAGAAGCATGATGAATATATGTTGAGAGAGCTTGTGAAGAGATGGTCTAACCATAAAGTGATGGTAAGATGGTTATCCCGCTTCTTCCACTACCTTGACCGTTACTTCATTGCTCGGAGGTCGCTTCCACCGTTGAATGAAGTTGGCCTGACATGCTTCCGTGACCTGGTTTGTTATGCTGTCCTGGAACTCCTAGTTATGCACTGCATTAGATAGATTGTAACTGGTTCTCTTTGTATGCCTTAGGTTTATAATGAGCTGCATTCCAATGTCAGAGATGCTGTGATAGCACTTGTAAGTTTGGTATCCTACTATTAGTAATGTAGCGGTATCCAACTTTGGCTTCTTAAGGCGACTTCTAACATAATATGTTTGGTGTCAGATTGACAAAGAACGTGAGGGGGAGCAGATTGATAGGACATTATTGAAAAATGTCTTGGATATCTATGTTGAAATAGGAATGGGGCATATGGATAGATATGAAGAAGATTTCGAGAGCTACATGCTTCAGGATACTGCATCGTACTATTCTCGTAAAGCAATAAGCTGGATCCAGGAGGATTCTTGCCCTGATTACATGTTAAAGGCAGGTTTCTTAGTACCTTTTCGTTGATCGCATTCCGGTTTCTTTCGCGAAAAGATATTTAGCAATCAGTATGCTTATGTTGCAGTCTGAAGAGTGTTTAAAGAAAGAGAGGGAGAGAGTGTCTCATTACCTTCACTCAAGTAGTGAGCCCAAATTGGTTGAGGTGGGTTATGATTTTTATGTGTGATTTGACGCTTATGTTATTTTGCCCGTATGTGTTTTCGACACATAACATGTTGTATTGAAAGTAGTCTGCTAGCTTGCACAATGTGTCAGACTCTTCTGGTGGTCTTCGTTTTTCCTGAAGAGTACTTTTTGTGCTTCATAGGAGTTCTCTGTTTTAAGCACTAATAGCTGCTGTTGACATTTGCTTTTGAAAATAGAAAGTGCAACAAGAATTATTGGTGGTGTTTGCAACACAGCTTCTAGAAAAAGAGCATTCGGGGTGTCGTGCATTGCTGAGGGATGACAAGGTAGGCCAGTTTTGTGGTTTGTTTGATTAATTAATCAGCGCCTTTAATTTGGCACCTTTATATGCTTTCAGGTGGACGATCTGTCCAGGATGTACAGGCTTTACCATAAAATTCCCCGCGGCTTGGAACCTGTTGCTAATATCTTCAAGCAGGTTTGTTTTCTAGTTTCTACCCTCCTTTATCCTTTGTTTGCTTTAACAGAGGGTTATCTTCCTCTTCATGTAACAGCATGTCACTGCAGAGGGTAATGCACTTGTCCAACACGCTGAAGATGCAGCTACTAATCAGGTTCATATTATATTCTTACTCTATCCGCCAAAGTCTCTCAGAGTGACACTGTGACATGTAACTGTTTTTGTCAAGGATGTATGCTTAAATTATCTCCCTAGTATCTCGTATATCTTACAAGTATGAACTGGACCTGGGCTACTCCAGCTGAATCTCTTTTCGGATTCTGAGTTAATCAGGGAGCTCATTTCTCTAACATTATCTAATGAATTGGTGAGGATGTAAGCTAGGGCTTCTTTGGCTTTTAGAAAGTTATTCCATAGTATTCCTAGCTCCTGTACGTTAAAGTTGTAACAATTTAGTGAATAGGTGTTCATTCCCAAACAAAAAATTTACAATTCAGCTCTCCATATGCATTTGCATATAATCGGATTTGCAAAATTAGATGCTCTAAGTTCTTTTTTGGGTTTCTTTAAATTTTCCTTTACACAGGCTGTAAGTACTGCCGGCGTGCAGGAACAGGTAGGACATCCTGACCTGGTTCTTTTTTTTTAAAAACCAAATCTGATTTATGGGACAAAATCTTTTGAATTTTTGGATTCACTGTCTTTTTATGTTTCAGGTTCTTATCAGAAAAGTGATTGAACTACATGACAAATACATGGTCTATGTAACTGAGTGTTTCCAGAACCACACCCTCTTCCATAAGGTCTGGTTTGCTTTTTGAAGCTCCTTTCATGTCGTCGATCCGGGTGCTGTATCTGTTACTTAAAGACTTTGAATCTTCTAGGCTTTGAAAGAGGCGTTCGAGATTTTCTGTAACAAAACTGTTGCTGGAAGCTCCAGTGCCGAATTACTTGCAACATTTTGTGATAATATCCTCAAGAAAGGGGGAAGTGAGAAGCTGAGTGACGAAGCCATCGAAGATACGCTTGAGAAGGTAAATCTTATAATATTTACTGCTTTTGTAGTTCAGTTTCATTTCTCCTGGTATTGGTGCTGAAATTCGTTTTTATTTTTGCAGGTGGTCAAATTGCTTGCTTATATAAGCGACAAAGATCTTTTTGCAGAGTTTTACAGGCAATGTCTCTGCATCTGATCTTTGCTGTTCTTTTAATGTTTAGTTTATATTAGTAGCTCGGTGGGATACATCCAAAATAGTATTGGGATAACAGAATTCGTATTAATGGTTGCTTGCTTATGGGGTTCTTGGTGCTGTTAACAGGAAAAAGCTAGCCCGTCGGCTTTTATTTGATCGCAGTGCTAATGATGATCATGAGAGAAGTATACTTACAAAGCTCAAGCAACAATGTGGTGGGCAGTTTACCTCTAAGATGGAAGGCATGGTGAGTTAGATGAGTTACCTCCTGTATTTCTTCATCTTTACATGTTAGTTGGCCTGAGTTTAGATGCACTCTGTGGTCTATTAATTTGCTTTCAGGTGACGGATCTGACATTGGCAAGAGAAAACCAGAACAACTTTGAGGAGTATCTAGCCAATAACCCAGCTGCAAACCCAGGGATTGATTTGACGGTCACTGTTCTTACCACTGGTTTTTGGCCAAGTTACAAGTCATTCGACATAAATCTTCCCAGTGAAATGGTATTTAATTGGTTTTATATCTGGGAAGGAAAATTTTCACATTGATGAGTTGACACAAATCTTCCTCGTCAAATGATTATTTAAATCTCTTATTCATCGTTTCAGGTCAAATGTGTTGAAGTTTTTAAGGGGTTCTATGAAACAAAAACGAAACACAGGAAGCTTACTTGGATCTTTTCACTTGGAACTTGTCATATTAACGGGAAATTTGATCAGAAGTCCATTGAGTTGGTCGTGTCTACCTACCAGGTATCTGTTGGGTTGGTTGGTTGGTTGTTTTGCTTTGGATTTATGGTTTAGGAACCACTGGCATTCTTCTGGGTTGCTACTATATTCAGTTTACCCGGTGGCTTATTCCAATGTGATTATGGTTGTGTTTGTTTCAGGCTGCTGTGCTTTTGCTTTTTAACTCATCGGACAGGTTGAGTTATACAGAGATCATGAGTCAGCTGAACCTGAGTCATGAAGATCTGGTGAGGTTGCTGCATTCCTTATCATGTGCAAAGTACAAAATCCTAACCAAGGAGCCGAGCACAAAAACTGTTTCCCAGACAGATGTCTTTGAATTTAACACCAAATTCACTGACAGAATGAGGAGGATAAAGGTTTGAAGACGCTACTCGAAACACCGATCTTCTTTGTGGCGATTTTTCCACTGAAACTGTTTTGTGAAAACAGATCCCGCTTCCGCCAGTGGATGAGCGGAAGAAAGTCGTAGAAGATGTTGACAAGGACAGAAGATACGCAATTGATGCTGCCATTGTGAGGATCATGAAGAGTAGGAAGGTCTTGGGGCACCAACAGCTGGTTTCTGAATGTGTCGAGCAGTTGAGCCGGATGTTCAAGGTAACGTACCCTCTCTGTCCTAATTAGGAGACGCGGCACATTAACAGTTGATGCCCTACCCTTTTTTGTTGAACGTTTGTTTGTAAAAAAAAAAAATGCACCAGCCCGATATCAAGGCGATCAAGAAAAGGATGGAGGACTTGATAACGCGAGACTACTTGGAGAGGGACAAGGAGAACCCTAATACGTTTAGGTACTTGGCTTAGTTCCACAAGAAGCCAGCAGTCAGGTGGGTACATGTGTATGAGTATGATTTGGACAGTGAGTTTGTATATTCTTGTCATGTAATGACTCTTGAAAGTTGTCATCTTCGATCCTTCTTTTTTGTTGTTATTACCGATTTTATTATGCATTTTTCTTTTCTGCTTCCGGGTTGATGAATCCCGTGTTACACATGTGATATTGGCGTTGAGTTTATATATATGATGATGATAGTTAATGGTACAAAGTTTGATTCAGTGAAATCATATATATGTGAGGAGGAAGGAACTATTACCATAAAATTAAAAACATGCTCACCGATCCTAGTGTATGTATGTGTGTATACATATATATAGTTATGATTCAGATCCAAATTGCACCAGCTTTCCTGAGGAGAGAGCCCAACTGGTTCCTGACCTGAAGGGACATGACCTGATTAGCCCCGCCGACCAGTTGCTGTCCTATGAAGACGGCAGGAACAGTGGGCTTGCAGCCGAGCCCGACCAGAGCCTCTTCTATCTCTTGTCCGTTGGGCAGCTCGTCCAGCTCGTACACCGTTGGATTCGCCCCAAACCCCGATATCAAAGACTTGATCGCGTGGCTCATGCAGCACGTGCTCCTGCTGA